CTGATTTATTCTGGAACTCTTTCTAGTCTCTGTTCTGGGACAGTCTACACAAGGCATCAAGGGTGGCTCAGACAGAAGGGCCAAGCTGCCAGTCAGGAGGGAGAACAAAACCCTCCCAACCCCTCCCAAAGCTCTTTCCCATTTTTTAGGAAATGAGTTATTGATTCCTCAATAAAGACTTAGAACCCTGCTGGGTGCAGGGCTCAGTCCCTGCTGCTTCAACAGAGAAGGACAATGGGATTGTCCACTCCTGCCTTATGGGCACATCCCATAATTTGGGATTGAAGTTCTTTGGATCCTCCAACAGCCCCAAATCCCTCCACCCCAATCAGGCTCAACATTCCCATCCCAGCTGTTTTCCAGTTCCAGCCCTCCTGCAGTCAAAAATTGCAGTCCAAATACTGCAGCAGCAAGGGGAAATCTGCAGCAGCTCCTCTTCCCAAACTTTTGGGATCTGGGAGCCTGCCCACATGAAGAGTCCTCCAGGCACAGGCATTTCTCAGCTGGCTGCACAAGAGTTAAGTTCACCCCACAGCAAAGTGGGTGTTGAAACCTCAGTGTCCACACTTGACATCTGCAGACTTGTCAGAAACTGAGCAGCAGCTATAAAACATTCCTCAACACCCAAAAAATCCCCTCTTGTCCCTTAATTACCTCCCTAATTAGAGCTTCCACAGTCCCCTTTTTCTCACTGCTCCTCAGCAAACTGACACGGGAGCTTTGTTCCTCCCAGCCAGGGGTCCCCACAACCTCCCACCACCCTAATTAACATCCTCACTCCACTTTCACTTAATAAGACTTTGCCAACCTCCCAAAGCAATGAGGACTTTTGTTGCTTGAAGAGAGAAAAGGGGGAGCTCTAATATCTTGATTTTTTTTCCCCAGATCAGTTTTCCTCGAGGTTTTCTTGGTGTTTGTATCTGTAATTTCACACAGCTCCAAAAAAGAAGTTTTAGTACGTTCCTCAAGCTACCACCTTTGTGGGGATTATTTTAAAATCAGAAAATATACAAGCACATATGGAGATTCAGCACTTTAAAACAGGAATACAATTTAAGGGAAATTGGTGGAATTCACCAGCACCCCAGCAACCAAACCAAACCTCTCCAAAGATCTTGTTGCAGTTCAAACCCAGGCTGAAAGCTGGTAAGGTTTTCCAATAAAATTAGGAAGCAAGTTTTGTAAATTAAAATGGAGAGTAGCACAGAAAATCTTTTTTTTTAGTGTTCCTTTTCTTCCCTGGGGCTTTCCCAACCTTCATTCTGTGGAACCTCTCAATCCCAGTGCTCTGGACTCAGCCTGTTTGACCTGTTCAGGTTTCAGCTCAGTGCTTCCCTGCTCCCAAATGGCTCCTTCACACCTTTTCTCACTTCACCCGTTTGAAATGAAAGCTGGAACACCCTGCTCCTGTTTTCTTGTGGAACAAGAACTCCTTTCCCTTGAGGGAACCCAGGGAAATCCTCTTTGCCAGGGTGGGTGATTCTTTCTACCAAACAGTTCCAATTTGTCCAGCTGGCTGAGCTGTTCCCGTGCCTCTGGAATAAATCCCCTGGCACAAAGCTGTGAGTAACACAGAGCTCCAGGAGTTCCCTCATCCTGCCCCTCTGCCAAGCACCAGGGCTGTAATTTGGGCATTATCCAAACGAGTCCCTGCAGGAGCACATCAAACACTCTCACTGCATTTCCTGCTTCCTGCAGGGAAAGGAGGATTTTCCCAGCACAGCTGCTGGCCCTGGAATAGCTGGATCCAGGTGTCACAGCCCTTTCCATATCCCTGTCCCCCTTTTCCTAGGGCTGTTCCCCCATCTTCCATCCCAGACAAGACTTGCAGGTGCAAGGAAAGAGTGATCCTGTAATCATTATTAGGAAAAGGCCTTAAAATCCTTCCCAGGATTAGGGTATTTCTCTTCTTTTAGTGTTGTCAAGTGGCAATTCAGGACACAGAGCTGAACTGTGCATTTTAGACTTGCTTTCCACTGAAAACAACACACTCCTGGTGCTGTTATGTTGTTATTGCTAAATGAAATATTGTTATGACCACAGAAACACCCTGGACATTAAATAATGTCTTTTAAAGCAGTTCTCCTTGCTGTATGCACACTAACAGAACTCACCTGCTGCAGGCAGAAGGCCTGAATTCAGAGAACAGTAATGTTTGTGACAGGTTCTTGCCTGGGCTATGGTAAAAGGAGGAAATTTTATCCCATTTCCTTCCCAAGGGAAATGCATTCATCGGTTTCAGACCACTCCAGGCAGAAACTCCAGTGCTCAAACAATTCCACCCACCAACACCAGCTCTTATGCCACAAATACCCAGAGCAAAATATGCACTGGCACTGATTTAATGCTTAAAACAACTCCCCTTTTCACACTCTTCCTGCAACAAGTTTTTAATCAACACTGTGACAGGATTCTGACACTTTCTGTCAGCTCCCAGAGGAATCCGCAGTCAGGATCATGCACGGGCAGCTCCCTGAGAAATCCCACTGAGGGATTTCCACTCACTCCTCATCAGTGACACTCTGGAAGGGTTAAATGAACAGAATCCCTCACTAAAAATCTGATTTCTGAGGTTCTAACTGGAGGCAAATGCTTTGCTGGGTGGAGCTGTGAATAAAGGCAATGATGGCATTTCTTGGGCCCAAGTACTCCAAGTTCTGGACCATTTTACACACAATGGGTGGCACCTATTAATTCTTAATTAAGCCTGGAAATTCTTGTCTGGCAATGAATGAAAAACCCAAGCTTCCTTTGATGTACAGACCAGAGGCAAGAGATGGAGTTCTGCATTTTACAGGTGCACTTGGGGTGCATTTAGTTATAAAAAAAAAATCTTCAGAGCCTCTGTTACACCAGCAGAAAACACCACATCTGATCCAAACCTTGAGAAATCAACAGCCAAGCTATTCATCTTCTCATGGACAGAAAATTCTGCATATTGTCAAAACCAATTTCTCTGCCACTTCATCGTGAAGCATTTCTCGGAAAAGCACCGAGCTTCAAAGACTTTCAGAGCAATTATCAACTTATTCCATTAACAATAATAAAGAGTCCCTGAAAGCAGGCAGGAATGCAGCCACAAGTCTCTTTTTGTGGAGGAGGAGGAGTTGTTGCTCTGAGAGAGGTGAGGAAGATTGGGAAGGGGGTGCTGGAACCCAGGACATCCCTCTGGCTGCCCTGGCTAGCTCCAGACCCTGGAATGAAGTAAAAAACACCTGTGGCTTCGATTTTAGCTCATGGAAAAAAACTGTCCATTTTTTATGAGGAATTACAAGCCACAAGGGTTTTAGTAGCGTGATAGTTGAACTAATACAGGGTGAAAAAGTAGAACTTTGGGATTTTTAGCATGGGGTTGAGGGGGTACAAGTTGGAGGAATTTGGGCGTATCCTGACCTCCTTCTCCTTTGTTTTGTCCTCCATGTCTTGGTTGTGATGGTGACACTTTTCTATTGGTTTAAGGTAGAGATTCACAGTCTAACATGGGCGATGCAAATTGGCAATAAATTGTAAACATAAACACGTAGCTTTGAGTATAAAATGTGGGATTATATACTCAAAAACTATATATATATCTGCTCAGGGCAGATGGCTATGGCCTCCTTGCTAGGCAGAGCTCAGCAGATCAGAGAAAGAATGTTTAGGTGAGAAGAAATAACCTTGAAAGCACAATCAGAACTCCAGGCTCCTTGAGCTGGGCTAGGGAAGCAAAACTCTTTTTGATCTTTTGGGGTCACCCTGACCTTCAGAGCCCCGCGAGAAAGCCCCAAGGGGGAGGATGAGGATGAGGATGGGGATGAGGAGGAGGAGGAGGATGAGGAGGAGGATGAGGAGGAGGATGAGGAGGAGGATGAGGAGGAGGATGAGGAGGAGGATGAGGAGGAGGAGGAGGATGAGGAGGAGGATGAGGAGGAGGATGAGGAGGAGGAGGAGGATGAGGAGGAGGAGGAGGATGAGGATGAGGATGAGGATGAGGATGAGGATGAGGATGAGGATGAGGATCTCACCGTCCTCGTGGCCCTCGCGGTTCCGGCGCCGGTGCCGCTCGCGCCGGTGGCTGACCACGGACTCGGTTCCCGTCTCGTTGTCCAGGCCGTCCCTGCTGCTGGCAGCGTTGGGGCTGTCACAGAACACACGGGGACAATTCTGAATTATTCTCCTTTTTTTTTTTTTTATTTTTTCCCAGACAGGGAGGTTGGAGCTGGGAGCAGGTTGGTGCTAAAGGTACGGAACTGCTCGGAGGAGGAGCGCTGCAAGGCGGCCCAGGCTGCTGGGACACAAAAAAACCACCTCGGGGGCACAAAAAGAACCTAAAAAACACCCGAAGGGGGGAAAGAGCCTAAAAAACACCTGAAGGGGGGAAAGAGAGCCTAAAAAACACCTCAGGGGGAAAGAGAACCTAAAAAACACCTCAGGAGCGAAAAGAGAAACCAAAATCACCTCAGGGGGAAAAGAGAACCCCAAAACCATCTTATGGGGGGAAAGAGAACCTGAAAAACACCTGAGGGGTGAACAGAGAACCCACAAACCACCTCAGGGGGAAAACAGAACCCAAAAATCACCTGAGGGGTAAAAAGAGAACCCAAAAATCACCTGAGGGGTAAAAACAGAGCCCAAAACCACCTGAGGGGTAAAAAGAACCTAAAAAACACCTGAGGAGTGAACAACGAACCCCAAAAACACCTCAGGATGAAAAGAGAACCCAAAAATCACCTTAGGGTGAAAAGAGAACCCACAAACCATCTCAGGGGTAAAAAGAGAACCCAAAAATCACCTCAGGGTGAAAAGACACCCAAAAAACCACCTGAGGAGTGAGGGGTGAAAAGGGAACTCAAAAATCACCTCAGGGGGGAAAAGTGAACCTGAAACCACTTGAGGGGTAGAGCACCCCAGGGCAGACAGGCGGATAAACATTGTAGTTATAAGCAAATAAACATAAATATATTAAATTTATAAGAAAATATAAATAATACTATAAGTAACTAAGTTAAATAAGTAGCCTTGATTTCCAGGGGTCGCCGAGCAGGAAAAGGGGACAGGGACACCAGGCTCAGGTCACTGCTGGCCATGGCAGCAGCACCATCTGCTGACTCCTGCTCCAATTCCCACTCCTGAGAAGCCAAAGCTGCCTCCAAAACAGGAATTTTTATTAGATATTCTACATATCAATATATAACATAATGTTAGATACTATATATATTGATAATTTAAAATATATTTACAATATATTGAGAATATTTATCATTTTAATATATTAATTCAATAAATAATAATCAATACATACAATTTCTTTTAATAAATTTACTAATTTATAATATATTGATAATATTTATAATTTTAATGTATTTAATAAATAAATAATAATCAATAAATATACCTTATTTTAATATATTTATTCATTTATAATATATTGCTAATATTTATAAATTTTAAAACATTCTATCAGTAAATAGTAATCAATATAAATTATTTTAATATATTTTCTCATTTATACACATTCCACATGGGAAAAACAAGGAGCAGAAATAAAAACTGCTTTCTCTTTCTGTGAAAAACGCCAATCACTTGGTTGTTCAAATTTTCAAAGTTTAATACTAATAAAATGGTTAAAAATAGTAATATAATTAGAGTGATAAAATTCAGGACAATTATAAGACAATAAATTTGGAGTATTGCCACATTTTCTATTCAATATTTGAAATATTCTGGAAGAAGCAGGAGGACCAGCAGGGTACTGGACCCACAAACCTCGTGGTTAATTACCAGCTAATTATCTTTTTAAACAAAGCTCGAGCTGGCAGCTGTTGCAGGCAGGTTTAGGTCAGGAAAGACATAAAACTAAAAAACTGGTTTTATTTTTTTGACAGATCAGAACACAGGAGGGCAGCACAGCCCTTGCAAGGCACTCTCAGGATTTCCCAGGATTTCTTGTCCCCTCTAAAAGGTGTTTTTTTTTAATATTCACAACACTGAGGGCTCATCCAGGCAACAACCATCCCAAAAAAAATGGGGAAAAAAAAGGAAAAAAAAATGGGGAAAAATGGAAAAAAAAGGAAAAAGAATAGAAAAAAACAGAAAAAAAAAGCAAATTTCCTTTTCCAAACACAGCCTAGGAGCACAAAGCTCCGTTTTAAATCCTCCTGGTGGAAGGAGGAATTTTTTCCTGCTGGAAATTCCCTGGAAAATGAAGGCATCCTAAGGATAGCCCTTGGATCAGGAAGAGGAAAGAACAACATCAAAGCAGCTACTCCCAGCCTGGCCACGCACAGCTGGAGCAGGAATTATCCCTTGTGGAAGCTCCCCCTCCAGCTCCAGCTGGCTCTGCACCCTCCCTAATTAACAGAACACACTAATCACTTGTCAGCCATACACTACAAAAAGCATTTTGGGCTCCCTCCCTACTTAACTCATCCACAGCAGGCTGGAAAATGAGATATTTTGGATAAATATTTCACTCTAACAATGACGGGGGTTTTTCAGTCCTATCACTCCTTTTATTCCTTGATATTTGATTTTTATAAAAATCAAACACTTTGCTTGCAGCAGGAAGGGAAACGAGGGTGGGGAATAGATGGGAATGAGAATTTGATAAATAAATGGGAATTACTGGGATCAGTGGGAATCACTGGAATGATGGGGGGCTGGGAAATTGAGATACTTTGGATAAATATTTTATATCGGATAAATATTTAACTCTAACAATGACAGGGAAACTTCATTCCCATCGCACTTTTAATTCCTCAATATTTGACTTTTATAACCACAACAACAAACAGCTGGCTTGCAGGGAAATGAGGGTGGGAAATTGATAAATAAATGGGAATTACTGGAATGATGGGAGCTAGGAAAATGAGATATTTTGGATAAATATTTTATATTGGATAAATATTCATTCTAACAATGACAGGGAAACTTCATTCCCATCCTGCTTTTAATTCCTCAATATTTGATTTTTCTAACCACAACAACAAACACTTGGCTTGCAGCAGGAAGGGAAATGAAGGTGAGAAATAGATGGGAAAATGAAATTGATAAATCAATGGGAATTGGGGCTTACTGGAATGACAAAGGGTGGGAAAATGGGATGTATTGGATAAATATTTCATATTGGATAAATATGTTGGATAAATATCTCGCTCTAACAATGACAGGAAAACTTGATCCCCATCCCACTTTTAATTCCTTGATATTTGATTTTTCTAACCACAACAAACACTTGGCTTACAGAAGGAAAAGAAATGAGGGTGGGAAATAGATGGGAATGAATTTGATAAATCAATGGGAATTTGGGCTTACTGGAATGATGAAGGGTGGGAAAATGAGATATTTTGGATAAATATTTCATATTGGATAAATATCTTGCTCTAACAATGACAGGGAAACTTCATTCCCATCGCACTTTTAATTCCTCGATATTTGATTTTTACAACTGCAACAACAAACAGCTGGCTTGCAGGGAAATTGATAAATCAATGGGAATTACTGGAATGATGGGGGCTGGGAAAATGAGATACTTTGGATAAATATTTCATATTGGATAAGTATCTCACTCTAACAATGACAAAGGCTTTTCAGTCCCATCGCACTTTTAATTCCTCAATATTTGATTTTTCTAACCACAAGAACAAAGACTTGGCTTGCAGCAGCCAAGGTGGGAGATGGATGGGAAATGAGGGTGGGAAATAGATGGGAATGAGAATTTGATAAATAAATGGGAATCACTGGAATGATGGGGGCTGGGAAATTGAGATACTTTGGATTAATATTTTATATTGGCTAAATATTCATTCTAACAATGACAGGGAAACTTCATTCCCATCCCGCTTTTAATTCCTCGATATTTGATTTTTCTAACCACAACAACAAACCCTTGGCTTGCAGCAGGCAGGGAAATGAGGGCGGGGCATAGATGAAAATGAGGAATTGATCACAAAATGGGATAAATCGGGACGGAGCGGTGGCTGGACTCACTGGAAGGAGGGGGGCCGGGAGTCGCCGATGCCGCCCGTCCTCTCCAGCGCCGGCGGCAGCTCCGCGTGGCTCTCGGTGCACTGCGAGCCCGTGTCCGAGTGGGAGCTCTCAGCCAGCACCAGCTGCCAACAGAGGAAAACACAGTTACACCAATGCCAGCGGCTTCTCCGAAGCGTCCCGCCAAAATCCCGGGATCTGAGCGGGAGCGGAGATGGGGAGTGCAGGGAGCTGCGCCAAAGATGCAGGATATTGGGTTAAATTGGGTTAAATTCAGGACAAAATCAGGGTAAAATCAGGGCTAAATTCAGGTAAATTAAGGTTAAAATCAGGTCTAAATTCAGGTCTAAATTCGGGTCAAAACCGAGTCAAAATTCAGGTCAAAATCACGTTAAAATTCAGGTCAAAATCACATTAAAATTCAGGTCAAAATAAGGTCAGAATTCAGGTCAGAATTCAGGTCAGAATTCAGGTCAGAATTCAGGTCAGAATTCAGGTCAGAATTCAGGTCAAAATCATGTTAAAATTCAGGTTAAAATTACGTTAAAATTCAGGTTAAAATTCAGAGTCCACGTGAAAGCATCAGTGGCCTGAATGGGCACGGGATTCCTGCAGGCAGCAGGAATTCTTCTGTGGAGTGCAGGTTTTGGAAATTCTCCCAAATCCCAGTCCTGAACAAAGCTGTCAATATTACTATTATGTAAATATTAAAATTATCAATATTCCCAGTTATTAGCTGTCCATATTCATATTATGTCAATATTAATATTATCAATATTCCCAGACATTAGCATGGACTCGTCCTGGATAATGGATCAATACCCAGAATGGAAAAATGGAATTACAGATCCTGGAAGGATCCAGCTCCTCATTCCAAATACAGCATTCCCCATCCTTGGGAATTCTCCCAAATCCCAGTCCTGGACAATTTTAATTAAATAAATCCTCCATTAATGATATACGTGAGTATTTTTCACTAAGAAGCAATGAGGTCTCAGCTTCTCTTTATTTTTAGCTGTGGAAGAAGCGAAAATAATATTTTAAAATTAAATTAAATTTTAAATTTAAAATTTTAAAAAGAATATTTTTTAGCTGTGGAAGAAGCCAAAGTGACCATTTTGGTTTATTTTGGGTGTAGCCCAAGGCTTGGGTTGATATAAAGTGTCCCTGAAACCAACTCATTTCAACACAAGATTCTGCTCCTGGGGATTTTTATTTTTATTGTATTGATATTTTTTTTTTAAATTTTTATTCCCTGCCTCAGCTCGGGGCAATTTTTTTTTTTCTCATTTCCCAGCCCTGAAGCTCCTGTGCTGCCCTTGTCTAATGGTCCTGCCCCACCACAGCGTTAATTAAAATTGCAAATAGAGGCTGTAAAAAGCTGATGCATAAACAGGGTAAGAATTATCTGCTGGCAGGCAGATAATGGGGAGGAAAAAAGCAGGGAAAACCTCGGAGAAAGCAGTGACATCACTGCCAGCCAATGGGGAACTGCACATTCCCAGCAGCCAGGCAAGGAATTGTTCCCAGATGTTGCAAATCCTTCCTAAAAAACAGAGATAACAGAGCTGGCAGCGGCCACAAATTCCTGCCACACTCCCAGCTTCCACTTTTTCTCAAGAGAAGGGAAAAGCATTTTAAGCCATTGCAAAAAAAAAAAAGAAATTTTTTTTCCTTTTCCACAATTTT